GTCTATATAGCTTCGCGAAGCACGACAGCCGTTGGAAAGGAAACCGCACGAACAGGTTCCTTCGACATCCCGCAGTGGTGCCTGAAAGTCGAAGGGGATACTTTGAAAATGTGATAGAGTTTCGTACTTGTCAATTTGTGTTTTTTTTTTTTTTTTTGTAGAAGGAGAACTTACGGTCAACTTCAAACGACGCGTGTACAACACTCGTTTGCTCTCCAAAGCGCACTAATTACGTTATAAAAAATACCCGAAATTTGCATATGTCGTTAATGCCACATACGGGCCAATGAATCGTCGTCTTCTGTATGTTGAGTAAGATGCACTATACCGAAGCACGGAGTCAACGCTAAATGCTGCGAACTGAACTTGATGACATCCTACGGTACGTTAATAAGCTAAGGGCCGCAATATCCAAACAACCATACCACGTAGTTTCTAAATCATTAGTAATTGGACATTTCGGCCCGTAGGCCTGGCGCATGGCCAAATTTCTGGGGCATTTTGTGGAATAAAACGTTTTAAAGGAAATATAAACAATATAGTTCATTGGCGTTTTGAGATACCCAGGCCACTAGATTCCTAGGAACGTTGCTATATTTTGTCACGAAATTCATAAATTACTAATGTTCTGAATAAGGTCCAAAGGATTCAAAGCGAAAAAATGTTAGAGCCGTGGAATAGAGACTATACGCATCTAGAAGTTCAATTACCACTTATTGCTATTTCATAACCTTTATATAAAATATTCCCGGAGATTATTGCAATGTTTGTTGGTGATCAGCTAAAATTCTCATTTTAGTGTTCGCACCGAAGCGTTTGTGTACAATAAAGTTGGTGATGGTAGCTTGTAAAAAGGCGAGACGAAGTACAGAGAATGAACGAGGCCCTCTGAACAGACAGATGACGTCCCTACTGCCCGAGGACGCTTGAAACATTGGTTGCGCGACGCTATCAGCACGAATACGATAATGCCCTTTTTACACACTTTACTTCGAAAGAGTATCGGCTGATTACCGCCGAATTCACAAACCTCACTCAAATTGAGGGGCACCTCCACTTCCTCGAAAAAGGCTCAAGGGCCGGCGCTGGCCAATTGCGACGGCGGATCCGTCCTCGCGATTGGCCAGCGCCGGCCCTCGCGCCTTCCTCCAGGAAGTGGAGGGGCCCTTCAGTTTGAGTGAGGTTTCTAAATTCGGCGGTTAGTGTTTAAAGTGATCACTTTCACTTCACTTGCGGTTTCGATGATATACTTTAAATAAAATAAATAAAAAAAAATAAAACAAACGCTGATCGCTCGTTCGCGTTAATAGTGCCGCTCTGTGTCTGTCGAGGTTCGAGCGCTGCTGAAGCTGGGAGTCAATCTCGGGCACAGTCTGCAGTGAACGAGAGGCTAAGGGCTAATTCTTCTAGACTGCCACGAGGACACACTGGAAACGTACATCGTTTGTTTGAGTAATCCTTACGAACGCGTATCCGCTACAGCTTCGAAAATGCTTCACCTGCTGGTTCATGCTCCCTGGTAACGGGGAACTTTCAGCTGAGATCACTTAAAGGCCGGTTCACACATACAGCGGAGCGCTAAGTTGGCGCTACGTGAGCTCTCCAAGGAGCGCTCTTGTGGCGCTTTTTAGCGCGTGATGTAGCGCTGGGTTAGCACTTCCGTAGCGCTCTGTTAGCGCTTCAGAAGCGCTTTGTTAGCGCTCTGTTAGCGCTTTGTTAGCGCGTGCAGGGCGATTCCTTTGTTATTATTTTTCCTTTGTCACTGAAAGAAGAGGAAGTAAAAGAGCCCCTCTCCAAGCAAAGGGTCGGGCTAGAGCCACTCTATGTGGCAGCGTAGCTGCCAGAGTAGCGCCACGCTTTTCCCTGTGCCGCCTCTCACCGTGATTGGTCACACGCGGTACCATAGCAACGAGCTGAGCTGGCTCGGTTCCCTTAGCAACCGAGTGACTACTCGTCACGTGACCTCGCAAGAGCCGTGATGTCACCGGTAAGATGGCAGCGCCCAGAGCTGGTGGATACGAGTTTGTTCGGTGCGCGGTAGTCGTAATGTGCCGCTGCTTGCCGACGATTTCGGACTTCGTGCTCTCTGACGCAGGTATAACGTCAATATCTGAAAGAATGTTACTTTATACCTTCTTTGTCCAAGATCTTTCTGAATATTAGCACCTGTGCGGCAGCATCAGTCATATCGCCGTAGCGGTGCTCGGATTCCTAGATGTGTTCGAGGAACGATAAGACATTTTCCATGCAATTTTCGCATATTCCTATTCCTGTTTGAATGTTGAAATGTCTGAGAATCGATACGAATTGTATCCGTCGCATGTTGGACCTTGGGGAGGTTGTGTCAGCCCCAGGTAACCGCGTAATCACAGAAACTTTTAGCGAGGAAGCTCCTGCGATCTTTACGTTTTGTACTAATCAACGATTTTACAATATAACTTTTAGGATAACATTTTCGCATTTTCTAGCTTCCTTTGAATGTTGGAATTTCTGAGTATCGAAACGAAAGGTATACGTCGTGTGGAGGGTTTAGGGGAAGTTGTTTCAGCCCTGGGTCACCGAATAATCACAGCAACTTTAAGCGAAGAAGCGCCTGCGATCTTTAACCTTGTGTACTAATCGACGATTTTACGAATTGACAGTCCTGAAGACTTTGATAAACGTCCTTTCGTTGCAATAGCTTGCATTTGATCGCAGTGTTTTTTGGTTTGTTTTTGCAAGCGACAAGCTGACGTTTGCTAAAATGACGTATATGAAATTGCCTGCTCTATAGCAATGCCTCAACACATACTATTAAACTTATTTGCTGAGAGGTGTGTTCGTCTTTGTAATTAACAAGTTACAGACAATTATTTTTTACGAGTGTAATATTTATTTTCTGTAGCTGGGCCCGTTTTGTGCTGATTAATGTCCGTGTGCTATGATGTTATCATCATGTGTGCATGGTTCTAAATATCCTCTTTGCAGTGCCTACAAAAGCCAAAATGACGTCAGCCGACCCCAGCTCACGCATTTGACACGAAAACTGCGTCACTCGGGCGTATGCGCTCGTCAACAATCAATTCGTTGATGAATATTTGAATTCGCGTTCGTGGCCAATGAGTGCACATGAGTGCACTTGCGAATGACAAGTTCTATGGTGTGCTTAAAAAGCACAGCGGAAGCTTGGGGTCATCGCACCGGTGCCCTAGCATGTCACGACCGCGTGATTCCACTGTTCTCTTTTGAGTTGGGGATTAAAGCTGAGGAAGAAGAAGATAACAAATCAATTCATGGCCCCTTTAGCACGGGTATGTGTGCTACACCAGATAAAAATATTGACATTTTGCATGCCGGTAAACTTCCGGGCGACCACTTGGCCTGTCGGCAAGAACACCTCATATCCGGCATCCTCCTCTTTTGATGGCGTTAACAATTCTCTGTAGACCACCGTGCTGTCCTTCTTGGTTTAACCCCGTCGACTGTTCATCGCCCAAAACAAGGGTGATACCGCCGTCGACGTCGTTCCTCGCCATTCGGTGAGATAATCTCATCTTGAATGTATGAGTGGGTCTTGAAGGAGTATGGTGCTAAGCATACATTCTCTTACTATATGGGGCAGTCGAGCAGCAGTCATGTCCCAAGGCCTGGCGATTACGGCGGTCTTGTCGTGGCCGGCGTAATAGGATTTCGTTCCATAGGAGCGAAGTCCGAAAGTACAAGGAAGGTACGTTCGTCCCACGAAGCGGCCGCCATCCCGGCGGCGCGGAAAACCACTCGCCTTGTCCGTGCACGCTGCAAATCGTCTCATTTCCCAGAAGAAACAGGCACCGCTCCTCCAGAGGCCCGTGCCATACCGCCATGCAAAGCGTCTTTTAGGTCTTTTACCACTTTTCAATTAACGAATGGAGATATCAAATAGATAAAGGTTGCCGCCCGGCGTCGCTAGCAGTACGGTTACCATAGAAACCTCCCAGGCCCAAAATGGAGATCACTATAGGCGCTTCTGACGTCGTGTATCTAGATAATTTTGCGTCGTGTCGGTACTCTGGCAGCTACGCTGCCATATAGAGTGGCTCTAGGTCGGGCAGGCGATCCAGAGTCATGGACTCTGAGCACCTAATCGATTGGGTACGACCTCATCGCTTTCTATTCGATATGCGTGACCCTAGTTTCAAAGACACGCAGTTAAAAATAATCGCCTTCGTAAGAGCTCTGTGCCTCGGTCCCTCAGCCTAGGAACAAGGTTCGCCGGATACCCGTCGGTATCTTGGTGGCGAAAGATTTCGTGCACCCAGAAGGCTCTTCTAGGCGTTAAGCCGTCCACACACATATGCACTAATCGCGTATGTAAGATCATTTGTCGCATTTCTATTTCAGGAACCAACATGTCCACATTAATGCTGCTGATGTACACCCAACCACAGGAACCGGAACCGCAGTGCACGCGCTAATCCGCAGCACCGCGGTACAAGAAGCGCTACTGAAGCGCTAACACGGCGCAACTGGAGCGCTACTGAAGCGCTGATCACGCGCTATATTAGAACGAAGTCACGCGCTATGAAGCGCCACTGAGCGCTCCTTCGAGCGCTCACGTAGCGCTAACTTAGCGCTCCGCTGTATGTGTGAACAGGCCTTTACGCTGTCGTCAAGTCGAATGACCACAGAGGCGAGATGCGTTGAAAACATGGTATTATTTGGGCAAAGACGTTTTAGAGCCTGGTTACACAATACGGCCTAGATAAGGCCAACAAACTCCCTCCCTAACGTCATTACTAGCGATAGTTAGTGGCACCTAGCTTGCGCCAGCGTTGCTGCCAGCGTGTCTTGCAGCGTCTCCCAAACAAACGAGATGCTAGCAGGCGGCGATGGGCAAGAAGCCTGCCGCTTGGGATCCACTAACGATCGCGTCAAGCGAAGGCCCCGCTTTCTAGCTTGCATTGGCTACCATCGCGACCTGACTCGTAAGCCCGTGCCTGCGCCAACAGTTTCTCACGATTCTCCTTTTTCTCTCTTTACAGCTGAGGACAAATGTGGACGACATTCTGAGGCCGAGTCACGACGATTATTTTCTTCTTCGATGGCTCAGAGGTAAGCAACTCCCGAAGAATTTTATATATTTAAGGGGTGATGGGTAATCCGTCAGAGTATTTACGAAAAGGCATTATAAGGGGAAACCGCATGGATCAAGTCGTTCTACTTCTTCTTTGACAGCTCCCTTCTATATTGGGTACAATCTCATCATATACGTCAAGTTAAATAGACATTCTTTAAGTATAATTTCATGCTCACGGGTTACTTTTTTCAGTAATTGTTAGTTTATTATTGTGACCTAAAGGCCGGCGTAAAACCTCGGTCTTCTGCAGGAAAGATAACACTCTTAGTGCCCTCCTCTCCTAAATTTCAAGGGGCGATTTGAATCGTGGAGACGATATAGGAAAGGAGGGAGTGAGAAAAAGTGGAAAGCGCGAAGTGTATGTCGGGCCTTTAAGAGACCACACTTTCGAGACTCGCACATTTTCCCCTCGTACTATAATGTTCCGCCTTCAACGATGATTTATCCGCACGGTCCTTGGAACCTTATAATTCGAAGAAGAAAAGTAAGAATAAATGTGAAAGTTTGTATTGACTTCTAGGTGACGACACTAGTTCCATGCGTTTGTAAGGAATCACACTAACCGAAGGTGGGGGTTCACCCCAGAGCACAGCTGGCAAGCTGGTGAAGGAATGAATCACACAAGGATAAAACGAAGCAGTTGAGTTTTGGGATTTTCCTGCCAGTGTATTTTTCTTTCTACTGTATTTTTCTCCGTTTTGGTTTCTTTGTTTTCGGTAGTTTTACGGCACGATCGAATTCACGTAACGTTCCAGTAGAACTCATGCTTTGCTCAATTCTTCTCTCGTATTGTGGTCTTCAGCTCGGAACTTCAACGTTGCACAAGCGGAATCCATGTTACGAGAGGTAAGCCTTTTATTCTGTTTGAAAACAACAACAAAAAGAAATGCGTATGTTTGGTGCCGCTCTGGTCAATTTCGGCCGCCTTTTTGACGAACAAACACCTAAGGGGATCGTAAGCTCACATCTGTCCTCACTGTACTGCGCACTACTCCATCTATTTCCGCAAGAACTCAAGAAGTTTGGAAGGATTGCCGAATCTTGGCTTCCAAATATTTTACGACTATTACTAATCGATTGGCAACATGGATTCCTCATTATGCCAATGAATGTTTAAAATAGCAACTGCTTTGAGTTTTGCAAAGATGTAAAGCTTGGGCGCCTTTAGGTCCCTAATCTTTTGAGTCAAACGAAAAATTAAGTTTCGCTTCGCTTAAAACAATAACACTTAAATTTGTATTACAATAATGTAGAGAACACCTTTATTTTTTATTCTGGTACATAAATGTTGGAAGCGAAGAAAAACAGTTATTTACCAGCTTCACGAAGCCCCTTGACCCCTTGTAAATTTATATAACACATATTACAAGATACAGAGCAAGAATTCATTAAAACAAAAAATAGCAAACAATACAAAATAAACGACTGTCTACTAATTCGTTCATTCGTTTCATCTCAACTCGTTACTCAAATCTTTCATTGCGATTAAAAAAAAAAGGTTTATAATATTGTTCACGAGTGCGTATGCGGAGGGCAAGTTCGTCTGCTTCTTGCGCAGGGGGTAGCGGTGACGTCAGAACGCCGAGCCCTGATTGGCTGATCGCGACCCCCTATCTGAGCGTCGTCTGCTCCTTTGCAACGTCGTCTGCTCGCAACGTCCTCTGCGTCTGTCTTACCTTTCCTGCGACTTTCGGAAGCGCAGAGGCCAGATTCACGAAACGACCTTACGCCAAAATTGTGCGTAAGACAAAACTTAAGAACAAATTCGTATTCACGAAACGAAATTTTCGCAAGTTTTGCGCAGGTTACGACGAAATCCTACGGCACCTCCGAAGCAGTCTTACGCACTTCTTACGATCAAATCAGCATGGCCGACAGCGTCGCGGTCGCGACGACCCACGGACGTTTATTTTTCTACCTGCGCTTCTGACGCGTCCCGACTTCAAGCAGCAAGAAAAAATTAAGAAGTACTTGAAACAGACCACGACGAAAAAGAACGCTGGATCCACAAACACCCAGGAAAAGCTCCAACGGCCTCGATTCCACCGAACGCGACCAAACGAGCTGGGCAGTTAGGTCTAGCAGGCGCTCCGCGACTCGGCGACCGTCTGCCCAGGACCGGCTGGCGTGCTGAATAGAATATGCCCGCACGACCCTTGTGAACCCTTCCCGTATTATACTTTGATCGCTGACCTCAATTTTAGATTAAGAGGTCAATTTCTTCCTCTTGTTATCTCCTTGCTTCCCGAGGCAACGGTGACTCTCGCCGGTGAAAAAGCGGTGAATCTCCGACAGACGCAGAAAAGGTAAAGTAGCCATCGCTTTTACTAGCAGACGTAAAGCAGACGACGTTAACTGCGCCAACCCGCCGACGCCGTTAAAGAGTGGGGGGTCTCGCCGCACACGAATGGAGGGAAAAAGTATTTGGAAGGGAACTTGAGGACACTAACACGCTCACTCTCGGTTCTAAGCAAACAAACCTCGGCGCCCCGGGACACCTCGCCAGTGAGTCCTTTGACTTCCTTCCTTGATGCGCGTCTGCTAGTTTTAGACAAAAACAACGTACCGCTCGAGTTATTTCGTCTGCCCTCTCTTAAAGGCGAAGTCGAGTTCGCTCCGAAAGTCGCAGGAAAGGTAAGACAGGAGCAGACGACGTTGCAAAGGAGCAGACGATGCTGAGATAGGGGGACGCGATCAGCCAATCAGGGCTCGGCGTTCTGACGCGGCCGCTACTTCCTTTATCATGCGCAGAAGACGAAAATGAGCCCACTTGCGAGGCGTATAGCGTAGCAAGTATGTATTTTAGTGTAAAAGAATAGATAATTGGGCTAGTTGGTAGTTAAACATCTAAACGGTATTAGTGCAAACGTAGAGAGAAGAGAGTAGAGGCAGGATAAAGCGCACTATCCTGTATCTCCTCTCTTCTCTCTACGTGTGCGCTAATATCGTTTAGATGTATTTTAGTGATTGCATAAAATAACTATGAAGTCAAATGGTACTGTCAAAGTTCCGACGAACGATTTGGAGAGGAAATAATAAGTTCTCTCTGATCTGCGAGATGATCTAGGTTACGAACATTTTTTTCTTTCCTAATCTAAAATTAGCCAGGGGCCTCTACTCTTACGTGAAAGATCCACTATGTTTTTATTTAAACGTGCATTTACTGCGTCAGTTAAACTGTATCAGATCAGCCTTTTATGGTTGGAGATGTCGAAGAGTACGATCGTAAGTGACCGTCACACAAAAAACCTGAGTGAAACTCTAGCACAGGGCGTGCTTCTCCATTCGCCGGCAATAAGGCAAGTGATCTGTGGTGCGGCTAAGTGAGAAACAAGTTCTTATTCGCGACTCCAGCGACCTATAGGGGGCGCCACCACAAAACGAACATGGCGGCTGGGTCCAGGTCGCGTCGGCTCGGCCGGGCCGCCTGAATGGGTGGCGCAATCAATTTAACATATTTTCTTTTGTTTAATGCCCAATTTTATGGGTTTTTGAACTGAGGCGGTTAAGTGTAGCCGGTGCGCATAAACTTGCCGAGCATAGTTTTGCTTTACCGGTGTTTTTTGTTCTTTTCATGTCAAACTTTCGTTTCGGAGACTTCGTTCAAAACCGAAACTATGGGCTCCGGAGAAACGGTGATAGACTCTAATTAGTTTTGATCATCTAAGAAAAGCAGCGAGGGCTACAAAATTGTTCCACCGAGAGTAATTTTTAGCTAACTCGCATGCCTCGACCATGCGACTTATCTGTCCGCGAAATTGAGCTTTTGTGCGTGTCCGCGTTTCAAGAAACAGCTCCAGTCGTCTGCTCGGTCAAGAACACAGTCTGCAGGAAAATTACGAAAATTAAGCAAGCGCTTTTTCAGCCAAGGAGCATGTTAACCCGCTGGCGCTTCACTAAGCAGCTGATACTCGTCTTTCAATTAAGGTTTTAGTAGCAATTAGGAAGTCATTTTGACGAATATGCGGATTATGCATTATATTACGTACTATGGTCCCACTAAAGCGATATTAGTATATTCTTTCGGTTAAAATATGAATTTAGTTGACTAACTATTAGGTGAACTGCTGAATAAAAGTATATGTGACAGACAGAGAGATACTACTTAAACTTAGCCAAATGGTTCTAGCCGGTAGAACGGAGACGAATGCGGAAAAACTGAGGAGAGTCTTTGGAGATTCACTCAGAACCCTCTGCATTGAACTTGACTTCGAATCCTAAACGGATAAAATATTTTTTTTTTTTTTTGTGGCCGGTCAATTTGAGCAATGTAGACGTATATTGCTGCTGGCTTCGACAGGGGTTATAATACAAATATTGGAGGCGCGATAGATCCTAATGACGTGACAGCTTCTAACTTTGCGAGACGCGTGCCGCACCTTACGAAAGCAGATAATTTCCCTCGTTAATCATATGCAGCGAGCAGGTTTTCTGAATGAAGTAATTGCGAAATTAGCCCAGCTCCTTCAGTGTGGTCTTTTTCGCCGAAAAGCAGCCAAGATGAATAGCCAACGCACCGGCCGGCGTTTGTGGCTCAAATTAACTTGAAGCTAATCGAGCACAACCAAACTCAAGGAAAGCAGCTATCGAACCTTCCCATTCACTTGACTGCAACATTGGTGTTCCCTCCAGTGAAACACTTCGTCTGTCGACCTCAGTCCACTGTTCTACATCCTTATAAAGAAACCACTTATCAGTTACCAAGCAGTCGTCACTTTGAATGAGATTAGAGACAGAGAAGAAATCAAAAAGTTTTTCCGTGATTCCTCCCCATCCAAAAAATTGAAAGCACGCGCCCGTGTGTTGTGAAGTAAACGGGCTTTCAAACACGTGATGGAAAAAAACAATCTACTGAGGCTTCACCACACTAATGAACACTCAGGCAAACATAAGAAATTTTCGGACCTTCGTCAAATTACATTGCTCGCCCCCGCGCCGACAGCACGTGTCCGTGAAAGCCACCAGAGACGCGGCGGGGCGCGGAGCGACCTGGACCGACTGGTTCCCGGTTTTCCCGCTCGGCGGCGTCCGTTTTGCTGGAGTCGCGAATAGCATTACCACGAGAAACCGTTCTACGACCTCCGCGGTTTACAGTGTACTCAAACAACTTTCGGTTTTATGCAAAAGGCCCCCATTTCCCAAACTTTACCCACATAAAGAAGCATGCTGGGTTTGTATTTGGTCTTACGTTGGGCGTGCAGGCATCATCAGCTGTCATCTTTATAATAGAGAAGAAAATATCTTTCACTTTGCACGTGCATGCGTGGTCGACATAATTTAAGCATTTATTTATAATATTTCTGCAGGCGAGGCGAGTGCTTGCAGCTGGTGCGTTTACACTCACCTAATAGTTATGGAAGCTTTGTATTTCTGCAAATACTTATTCCTTTGGGCATACCTTTCTGTCTATAATATAGTCTATTTTTACGAAAAAGGGGATTACACTAGCATTGCAATTGTGATTTTTTTTTTATTTTCTTCTTGATTTCGAAGCTTTATGTATTAATTTATTTTTATTTATTTTATCCTCAGGGCCCTAGGGCATTACTGAGGGGAGTGGTAAAAATACAAATGAAACAAACAACAGGAAACACCACAAAGCAAGAGTTAAACATTCGGAAAAGCATGGTCACTCAGACTTGATTGAAGCAGAGCACTATCAAAAATTGATGTAAGAGATGAGGTAACCGATTCCATTCTTTCGTGACTCTCGGGATGAGTGAGTTAAAATATTTATTATAGCGGCAAGACGGAACCCTCACTTTTTTCTGGTGATCCAAACGAGCTGAAAGGAACGATGGTGGGGTTAATAGCTATCTTGGGAGTAGCTAGTTTTGTCGGAAAAT